AAAACAGCCAGTACATCACATGCTTCACCTCATCTCGGATGCGTTTCAAAGCAAATCCAATCAGATCTGCATGCGACGACATCCAACTACACACACACGCACATACACACACCAGTAACCTCAACAATTACAACAACAAAAACTCACAAACAATTCACCACCAATCACAAACTCACACCTGTTCATACCAACTCACTCTATCCACTCTCACAATGGCATCTGCGTACGCTTCTATTCTAGCTAGTCTGAAATGCTACAGCACATCATGTGCAGTAGTTGGTGGACTAGCTCCCAACAATTTAGGATACCTTAAGCATACTTGGAGTGAAACACCACCAAATACAACTCGATATCCAGATGATCCTTTCGAGTAAAACAAAAATCTACCACACAACAGTCAACACTACACGACATACTCAAAACCACGGAAAACTAAAACATGAGTCTCCTTCTCTCTCTATCAAACACACACACCACGATTCACCAACGACTCAAATTCACAAATGGCCTCTCACTGTATCCACGATCAAGTCACTACAAACAAACTTCACCACCTCAATATTAACACCTCGGAGATGTGTAGCAAATAAACTATTCAATGTCATCACATCAACTCACCTACCCACACTTCACCAACCCATTCGGAAATATCACAACACATACACACACATGATCCGCCAAAACAACTATTCAACAAACCATCCCAAAATTTACATCAAATCGACCCTCCATACTAAACACAACCACTCAATGACACACAAACTCAAGAAAACACTCAACTGCATCCCTAAACAACACACATAACAGATTATTCTCTCTCTCCATCCCTCTCACTTCCAACAAAAAGCATTCAACAAGCAACCAAGCAATAAACAATACTCTCGTCAGTCGTTCATCGGGGCAAATCAGTGCAATCAGACTAAATGCTAGTCAAGAACAAAGAGACACGCATGTTAGCTATCACACCGCTCCGCTTCCCATCACCACTAAATTATTCAATTCAACCAATCACCACAACCACACAAATATAAATATAGACTCACACTTACCCACCACAACACCGAAAACACAAGTACTACCATTACTCACCCACCTCCCACAATTATCCACACAACCAACAATCAACAAACCAACTGTAGCAAAGTCACTTCGCCATCACAATTTAGCACCACTCTGGAGCTCACACTCATCGAATGGCAAGAGCACTTCATGGTGCACACAACCAAAACAACAACACAGCACCTCCACACACACTCTCACAATCAAACAACGACACACAACAACATAATCAATGGACCAACTCACCGATCAACAACTACAACAACAACGCTCAAACCAACATCGACTAAACGCAGGACACAAACAATCCTCAGACAAAACACAACTCTGTCCACTAAACAAACGAAGAAGAACAACACCCGGAAACCCTCTCACAATCAATCACGTCAGCAAGACACATACTATTCAAACCCACCACGACAAAATCAATTCACAACTCCCACTGAACCATTACAACCAGCATTAACACAAATTAAATCACTCCAATAGACTACCACTAGGTAAGACAAAACAACCAACATTCCTTGTCGCAAAATCAGCCAACTACGCCTCAATTCGCACTTCCAATTTAGCATCATCTGGAGCCCACGCATCCTGTGTCGCATGGGCGCTGGTCCAGATGCCCAGTCACATAACACACACACACACACACACACACACACCAAATATCAACACTTCACTTGATCACCTCTCACACCATCTATCACCATACTCATCACATCATCCACCCATTAATAACGTCAACGTGAAAACCTAAGTACTACGACAACAATGTCACACACAAATACACCCTACAATCCAAAAGAATTCCTCAGTCACAATTTTATACATGCATACCAACAATCTATCACAAAGCATCTCTCGTGCTCCTCGCAGAAACCCCGAGATCATCTCAGAGCAATCTGCAACACACGAAACTCTCTCGCATTTCACCCTTGAGATAAGAGCACAATAATACTCCGTCTCTACACTGAAATGCAAACCGTTAAATCAATCAAAAAACCTCCTACAAGCACATACACACACACACACACCACTCTACATAACATCCAGGCAACCAGAAATACACTCAACTCATCCTCAACCTCAAAATACACTCACTCACATATCATCTCGCATGGATCCTGTTGCCTGTCCCAAACCAATGGAAAACAGCCAGTACATCACATGCTTCACCTCATCTCGGATGCGTTTCAAAGCAAATCCAATCAGATCTGCATGCGACGACATCCAACTACACACACACGCACACACACACACCAGTAACCTCAACAATTACAACAACAAAAACTCACAAACAATTCACCACCAATCACAAACTCACACCTGTTCATACCAACTCACTCTATCCACTCTCACAATGGCATCTGCGTACGCTTCTATTCTAGCTAGTCTGAAATGCTACAGCACATCATGTGCAGTAGTTGGTGGACTAGCTCCCAACAATTTAGGATACCTTAAGCATACTTGGAGTGAAACACCACCAAATACAACTCGATATCCAGATGATCCTTTCGAGTAAAACAAAAATCTACCACACAACAGTCAACACTACACGACATACTCAAAACCACGGGGAACTAAGACTGAAGGGTACGTTTTATGTAGAGACACTCACAGAGATATTTCCACTTTTCTACTTAAATGTTGTAACTTCGTTTTCGATAGTTAATCCACGATTCAAAACTGTCGGACACTCTCTTCATCATTGTCGCTACAACGAACTGTGCCTAATCTTCAATAGAAACACATGGTTTCGTCGCCTAATAGCGTCAAACTTTAACCTTGTGTTATTATTATCATGGATAAAATACTTTTCATTGTGCACCACTAGATTTCAATTTTGCAGGTAATCGTCACTTATTGCAAAACCGCACCCAGATTTGCGTTGATATGCAGAAGCATTGAAGAACGAAAACCAGACTAGTGTTCACCAATGATTTATTTGGTCTGCTCTTATGCATTTATACCAGCTAAGCGTGCTTGAGAATTTTTCCAAATTTCTAAGGAGCCATGAGCAGGAATGTATTTCGCACCAACACCGTCCGACACCAATTGTCCTTTTGCACGCATCTCTTGGAAACTGGCGCGTGGCCACTTTGTGAAACCCCAGTTACGTGATACTGCTATCTGTAAGTGATATACAAATAGTGAATTAAGTTCTGTGGATCTGGATGCACTTCTCGTGATATGCAAATCTAATGAAATCTGAATGCATCAAAATGCTTCCTGACGTGTCAATCTGGAGTAAAACCATTTGGTCAGTCATCTAACAATAAAAAAAAACTACGTACACATCACGTAAACAAATCAGACAATCACATATGATATTTAGTTCGACTTCGATATAAAACACTCTATCCGTTCAAACCATGTGCACGACGTGCTGCGATGGGACGAACCAACAGTGTCACAGCCGTCTGTGAGAATCAGAAATAAAAACCATTTAACTTAATGAGAATCAAAGTTGAATGATAATGACTTTATGTCTTTCAATAAAACTCACTAAAATATGACTGTACATTTACTAATGTTTGTCCTACTAGCCTGTCTAAGATAACGTATTACCGTGGCTCATTGGATTACGGAGGTGATTTTCAACCCGAGTCACGAGTTTGAGCCCTGCCCCACCTACCGAGGTTTGAGCGGCCAAGTAGTATCACCGGCCTTTACACAGTAGGTGAGGTTCGTTGCCTACTGCAAGAATGTGCGCTTCGATTCCGTCTAAGACAAGCTTTTAGTTCTGTTTACTTGTTTGTTTACAGAGATGATCAATCTACTCATGAATCTGTAGGCAAATTCGTGTTGTCAACATCAATGAATAAAACACCGACTGTTGCTAGAGCGGCTTTGGAAAAAAAGTGGATTCACTAGCTACCTATCTTTTATTCGAAAACCCATCTGGAGGAGATATAACCAATTGTCGTAATGCTCACGATTTCGAAAGTGATAAGGACCTAAAAGCCAAATATGACGATACCATGTCCATCACTGAAAAACTGCCATATGCAAAAATATCAGTTTGTTTACAACTTACGTATTAGAGCTATGACTTTCACATTTCGTGGAACACCAAGTCAAACCAAAAGTAGATATCATCCTGTAGTGTATATCAGGAGGTTAAATGTTGCTTCGAAATAACACAGACTAAATTTCATAAGGTATTTTTCAGAGCTACTTGGATTTGGTCCCTTATCAAACTTGGTCTATCATTATTCTGTGGTTGGTAACTTAGCTAAATGAACTGAATGGGATCAGTGTCGAATCGCAGTCACATCTTGGCACTTATTCCGTACATATAGACGATGTGAATAATGAAACACGTTTCAACCTAATTATTAGTTGTCTTGAGCAACGAAGTTTAACCACTCAGTAGGATTGATTCTTGGCCTGCATACCTCTCACGGACCGATACAATAATTCGTAAAGCCATGATCAGCAGACAATATCAGAAACCTAAGACTGATATCGAAGACATGCAGTCACCATGCATCGCATCAGAACCACATGCAAGACTGTATCAAGAGATATATGAATGATCGTCAAAATCTTACAGCTGAGTAGACGAAACAATATGCTTATATCTTCTTCAACATGGAGATGTATCGTAGGTGCATCTTTTCTACACAGGTTGAGTACAGTTCAACTCAAGACTTTCAACAATCGTTGTCAATTGGCTCGCAGATTCCAACCAGAAAGGCTATCATTAGCTGCATATAGCAGCTATTCACACCCTGAAGAGGCTACATCAGTCAGACTGTCACAGGTTATGAAACACACGCATACTTGCTGGCTGCTGGTCCACATGCCACACTTCTCGACCTGAGGGCGGCATTTCACTGTCGACTGTGGTGTTGTCTCAGTGTCTGACAGGCAACACGGTACCCAGCACGTGTACAACGCCATCCAAAGCTCTCCATTCTAACTCAACTCACACACACCTGTATTACAACCCATGGAGAGTCATGTGAATTGACAACTGGGTGTCTGCCATGGATGTCCACTATCACCGTTCCTATTCAACTTCATCATAGAAGGAATAATGTACATAACCATAAGTACGTCTGACTTCACAGTGACTGACCTATCAAGTCGAGGTCACCTGCTCTACTTGGAGCATCCAGACAAGATTGTCCTGCTACGTGAAAACGCTGACCATGTGATGGGTCTTCTGCAAGCGCTTTGCAGAAATCTGAGTTTTCTTGGCATGCGTTTCGCTGGTACGTGCCAAATGTAAGTTGATGCCTCTGTCCGTTCAGTTATACTGCTGGCTAACACATGGCCGGTAAAAGTAAGAGACAAAATGCGATTACTGGGTTCCCAGGCACCTGTGTGCGAGGTTCTACGCTGATTTTGTCAATCAGTCAGCATGTTACTTCAACTTAAGACTTTCTCAATGTCAAGAAACCGGTTACCAAATGTATCAAATTGGCCATAGCTCAGACAACTAAGCTTTGATTATTCGACTCTTTGTAGCACATTAAAGCGAACTAAAGATTGAAATCATTAGTTCTTGAAATGTGCACAGATGGGTTGCGCGAAGACTTCCAACACCACCACCACCATCACCAAAGCATGGAAGAAACCTGCAGTGCATTGCACTACACTTGCAAGTCCTCCATAGAATACGAATCTAGTCAAACTCTGGTCAGCAACATCATTTGAGGAGCAAAAGGTAAACTGCTGCAAGCCGTCATCATATGCAACATACAACTGCGGAACACCAAACCCTATTTAGCCTTGTATGATCCATAGACTATCTGGTTAACGACATTACGTCGTTACTCATACATGAAAATCAACAAAGAACCCACCTATAAAGTATTTCGAGTCAAATCGACACAATTAAACAGTGTTCAAGAAAAAGTGGACAGAAGTGACACAATTAAGGTGTGAGAAAAGGAGGATTAAATAAATTAGGATTGATCAAAACATTGAAGACTACAATTGGTGTATACATCTAAGCTGTTGTGATCGACTTCATATCATTTCATTCAGCCTTAATCCACTGTTCCCGATGACCTCCAGTACCCTGACCAGACAAAGAAAAAATGCCTACATCACTCAGGTTAACAGTCAAAGACTCCAGCAGTCGTATTCGTGTCTTGTCACTTACAAGTTCATACCGAATGAATCTCGTGTACTACTAAACATTTCACGTGGTTGTTGGTAGTCTTTTATGTACTGCCGAAGCCACTTTTGATGGCCAACAGCGTCATTAACTGACCTCAGTTTTTTTTCCCGAATTTGGTACTGCTCCCGCGATCTCATTATATGTGAGCAAGGCTACAAAGACCGACATGGAAAATCTACAAACTGTCCAAGTATTTTTATAAGTGGTTCGCATTAAGTGTTATGTCGGAGTGGACAGCGCTGCATTATATCAATTCATGTAATGTTTCATCCGCGCTAGAGGCAGTTTTGGCTGGGAGGTCTCAAACGGACTTTATGGATTGGGTCTAATTGTGTCAACCAATTGCGAGATCATATTTCAAGAATGGACCCAGTGTCAGGTGTAAAGCGGACAGCTACGTAGAAACAAAAGAAAATGCTTTATATAGGAGACGTGAAAATTTGAAGTCAACCAGATTCCCAACAGTCAACTCATACACATGGTTGGATCTGTACAAAAATCATCGGCGACAGCAAACACTGAAGGCTGACAATTTTGCCTGTCAATGCATCAAATAAAATTCCTCTCACAAGTGAATGCTTGGGTTTGAGTAGTTGCTTGGTACATGCACTGGTGTACACACCTACATTACGGGCACGCAAGTCACGCAATAGTAAATCTATTGAAAACCGTTTTGTTGGGAGACAAATAGAAAATTTGTCCTGAATCTGGAGTCCACGTACTCGTTCGTGAAAGCGACATCACAACTTACAGAAGCTTTTTACTTTTGATATCATACCCACTTTCAAATCAGCTGGACAGCTCAATACCATGATAAGTGACGTTACTTATTACCCAATGAATCCACAAAATGCTGAGTAATCCCTACGTATATTGTTAAGAGCGAAATTGGGTCATGGGAACACCATTGAAACTAGCATGTAAATTCAGCATGCATACACCAAAGTAGAAAAATAGAACACTCAAACTATCATATACCTTTTGTTGGCCTGGGAACTTCATCTTCGCACGCCTGAGAGCTTCAATAACCTGTGTCTGATGTTGATCACGAGCACGGACTGACATTATCACTTGTCCAATATCGACTCTTGCAACCGTACCTTGGGGTTTCCCAAATGCGCCTCTCATACCTGTTTGAAGGCTAAGAAAAATAAAGATTTGACAATAACTACCGATCAGCGCCGGCACATGAAAGCATCTTATTAATCCGAATGACATGGAATGGATGAACACGGATGCGGCCATGGAACGAGTCCTTCCCACAATGCTTCAAGAGGTATTTATTTGCACAAATACGAGCAGCTTCCAGTGCCTCACTAGAAAGTTGTTCATATTCATTCGATATCATGTGCACGCACAAGGGGAATTCCTCCACATCAGCTCTTTTCTTACCCAGATCGAAGATTCGAATCTTCGGATCTGGAACACCACGACAAAACCGTGATTTTGGATATGGTTTATTCTTGCAATACCGATAGCTACAAATAAGAGGAGTTTGCAACGAGTTACCATCTAGCAGGCCTCCGTCCCATCTTTACGACCACTTGTGTGCCACGCTCTGACTGATACAAACAAGGTTTCGAAGTCCAAGGGCACAGCAGCACAGATGTTCAATATAATTTAGTGCTTTTTCACATACGATATCAGTGATGTCAGAATACAAAAATGATACCTTTCACACTCTCATGTCCAAGTATTGAGGCCTGATTCTTTTTGCCTTGTTTCACTTCCTTCAAACTTCGTGTTGTAGAAACAGACAACCACATTTCTTTGGGTTTTACGTCTGTCTGAATGGAATACGTTCCCTCTCGTAATAACCACTCCTTTTTATGGTTTACACGAACTCCAGAAGATCGAGATAATTAATAAAAATTAACTCGTCACTTTGCTACAGGTATCGCTGCTACTTATGGTTTATTAGACGATGGGTGGTTCCTTGAGTACAGCCTATCTGTACCGCAGGATTCTACGTGAGGAGTTCCGCAGTTCACGTACTCATACTAAAAATGAGTTGGCGCGCATCATCTTACTGTCTCGTGCCCTAATCTGAAAGAACAACCTCCAAGCCGGTGTTTCTGATTAAGACTTTAAAGCATTTGGTTGTGAAAAAGAGGTTTATGGGTGATATGATACACAATGGTTGTATGACCTTTGATCCTACTGCGCTATACTAGAAACGCCTTAAGAGCAACCACACAATCCTCATAAGGTTTGTGCTGTGGCTCGATCACTTTTCTCATGGCCCTTTTCTGAACACCTTCCAGGATGACTACATGCTTCCTAACTAGCGGGTTTTGTTCTCGATGAGGACGAATATTTGGCCCACACGCTGCAGCTTAAAGGCTCGGGACTGGACTGCATAGAGTTCGGGACTGCTCATGCATTGCTGGATCCAAGACGGCTATGGATGGAAGCTCCAAGCTTGTCACTCAACCCAACCCCTAGATTCTTTTTCAATGTTTGAGTGGGGGATATTTGTCTTCCACAGCGACAGAAGACCTACATTTGTCCTGGGAGTCAGCCCATCACACCGGACTATACTGTAGGTGTAGATCAACAAAGGCTGACCGAGCAAACTGTTGCAAGTACATCGGTTGCCATCGTTTCGCCTACCAACAAAGTAGCGACCACTGAAACTGAAGATGAAACCTCCGCCAGTTATGTAACTTAATCCCTCCGATCCTTCTGGTTCAAATAGCAACGGTGATGATATATCCGGTATGCACCTGATCCCGCTGAATGCACTGTAGGAATTTCCATCCTCCAGACGCAATAGTGCTGACAAGCCTTTACCCCCCCCCCCCCCTAAACCTCTCACACACGATGACACCGTAGCATACTTGACCTCGTTCTCACCGATGGGTTATTGTCTTTTACTCCTCTGCTCGGAACAGAATTCCGCTGCGGTGATTAGATAGTAGTGCTCAGTGACTTCAGACTGTTTCCTAGTACTACGTCAGCTCCCAGATCAAAAACAACCTTAATTAGACTGTGTAAAAATGTTGTCTGGGAAGAGATGCGGTACACGTTGAAATGCCTAGAATGGGGTTCTTACTTCACCAGTAGCTCAACCAAAGTGATACCTTCTATAATTTCATGAACGCAATTGACGATCATACTGCTCCCGTGGTATTGGTGATAACTGGAAATCTAAAAGTGAATTTCGTCCCAGAAAGTGCACGTATCAGCATGCGCAAACATTCCAGAGATTTCTACCTATCTAATGACTTTTCATCCCTCGTTTCATTGAAAATCGCCTGTGAAAACTTCAAACCAAATAGGTAACTGAAATCAGCCAGATAAGAAAGTAGCCGCAACGCACAAACAGGCTACTTTCAATCTTAAGTGAGAGTTCTAAAGTCGCATGCAAACTTATCCAGAGTAACCCCAGTAATCAGATAATTGATGGGGAAGTTCTTTGAAATGCTCCAAGTAGGATCTGTTAGCTCGTAGAGTCACGCACCTCCCGAAATCAGTAGCCTACGGTTTGACGAGATTCAACATTGATGCTGACCTTGATAGTTTAACTGGACTCACTAAGCTGAAGGCACCCAGTCAAGCATCCTCGCCATTTGGCATGCTTTCGTGTTACGTTGCACTGCTCGTATTCGACTCTCTAGACAGTTAGTTGGAACGCATCGGTATCTTGGCACAACCACCCAAATATACTGTTCTATCCGACCACGCTATTGTTTTTTCTTGGTCTCGTATTTGTGGGTATATAACAAGTCCGAATAATTAGTGATTGCTCACTGCGTCTGTCAAGTTCACACCAGGATAATTCCTAAAAGCTGGTTAGTAATCATTTTGCCAGCTGCTTCAGGTATGAAGATGGTGTACTAGGTGTACAAATGCCCACTCCGCGAAACTATTCGCTAAGTAATGCTTCCTTTACACAGCAAAAGATAGCTGAAGCAGCTGCTGCACTAAAGAACTCACACACTGCCGGGCCCTATGGGATCCCACGTGTCCCAAAGAAGGGCGGTGAAAACACCAGTGATCTTTACGAAGCTATCTTCATATTCCTTGCTGAGGCATGCTACTCTGACCGCTGAAAGCTGCCACACACACCCCCCACGCATAAATCTGTCCTAACGTCAAAAATTCAAAACTACGGTCCCATAAATATTGCATCTGTAGTCCCTCTTATTGTGGAGAAGGTGGTTGCGCACTAAATTACTGATTATGTCGTCGCACATCAGTCATTTTCCCCTATGCGGCATCGTTTCTTGAAATGCTTATGTAGGATCTGCTTATTGGATTACTTCGAGGAAGTCACCAGCTCTTTTCGTAACTACTCTATTTTTTGACTTCAAGAAGGCACCTGATAAAGCATTTCAAAATCGGATGGTTCCCAATCTTAAATCATTTGGAGCTAGTGACCCTCTATTTTCGTGGATGAGCTCATCCACTGGACAGAGCACTCAAATAATAAGGTTCGGTCACACCTATCCCTCCCCAAGGCTTGATTTGAGTGGCGTCATCCAGGGTGGTGTGTTGGGGCCGTTACTCTTCCTGCTTTACATAAATAATATTTCTAACGTAGTAAAATACGGCAAGCCCCGCCCCATTTGCTGATGACTTAAAAATTGTATACAGCTTCCCCTATTCATCACTAAGCGAGGGTTTTAACAGAACCCAGGAAGTCCCGTCGTTTTTGTCCTCTTGGAGTGAAATATGGCAACTTCCACTTAACTCTAGTAAATGCGGGATTCTCTGTCCCAGTAATTTTTACCCGAAACGTCAGTTTACACCCTGAAGATTATGCGTTGCGATCATGTAACTCGTATGTGATTTAGGTGTTAGGTATCCTCGGAACTTAACGTATATTCAAAGTAATGATCTTCCCAGTACTTTAATGTGGCACAATCATCTTCAGCAATGCGTATGCTCTTGATAGGGTACGCGGTGAGTATGTTCAAAGAAAGTTTGCCCACTGTGTACTGGGCCGTATGAAGAACTTGATTATAAGGGAAGATGTGAGAAACTGAAGATCGACCCGTTTTGGCTAAGTCGTCCTAAGCTCAACCCTAATTTATTTTCCGCCTTTTGTGTGGCATCACTCATGCTTGTTGCTCTCCTACTTTTAGGCCTACGTCCTCATAAATTCTATGCAATCGTGAGTGTACTGCGCCCGTCGAAAAATACCGCCTTAAACTTAGGTCGCAGTTCTGTATGAAATAGTGCAGAAAATTATAGAATAAGCTCCCACTTTGTATTCGCTCTTGTGTGCCTGCACTTCAGTTTCGACGTCTACTCGACGAAGTTCTTCAGCCCACGAATATCTGCAAATTTCTTGACATTAAGGTTTTATCCACAGATACGAAGTATAAATTCAGGAATAAATTACTATCATTATTATTATTATGGAGCCATCGGTACGTGATAATGGTCGAGCCACTGCATCCACTGAGAACGTACTTACCCTCCTTATTGTATCCATCGGGGGCTATTAAAGTCCTCTAGTTCCTCCTACGCTGATTCGTTTACGGTCTTGTGCGAGGGTGTGAGTACTAGTTCCCTTCCTCCATATAATGAACTTACAGTGTACACTGTTTTCCTCTCAAGGCCACTACCATACGCCCCAGATACGGAAAGTTTCAGGTACCTTACGGTGAAAAAACTACGTAGTTGATTCCACATGCATACATAAAAATGTACATAGGGCTGGAACGGGTCTAACAGAATGGGAAATTCTCCCTTCCCCGAAGTGGATTGTGCAATAATTTCATTTTCCACATCCGCTGGTGCTTCTTCTTTCTTCTAAATAATAAATAAATGCTTTATTCTCGCGTTAAAAAGATTTTAACATGAGAGAAGCCAGTTTACAGGCCTCATCACGTTGAAGCATCTCAAAATATCTACAAGACTTGAACCCTGAGTGGTACTGACGGAATGTCATTAAACTCAATTAAAAACTGCCGGAGGTCCTGCTAGTTATGAAATGAACAAGGAAGTATTACTTTACAGCGTACATAGAGTGTTAAAACTTAGATAACAGTAAATGTTGTCTCCATTTAACAGGTTTAACATGAGGGATACCAGTTAACAAGCGTCGCCAAATTCATAACTTTTGAAAGTGTCTAGTATTAAATAATTTACATATCGAGTCATTAGTGTGCATAATCTTATTGAAATTTACTGAAATTCATGAGACGGATATGGATTTTCACCTCCCATCTCACAGACAGGTTCCATTATCAATATCAAAAGCGCAGTGTTCAAAGTTTGCGTTGTAACCAACCGACGTTGTTAGTCCGTTCGCATAGTTTGCTGATTAGTAATATAATAGTTTATTACTTAGAATGGTCTTCAGTTCTTAGTTTGCTAACCACAAAGGACCCATTTATACAATCTGGAGTATCAATAAAGTATCCACAGTTATATAACCAACGTGTATGGCTATATCAATGCATATCCAGGACACCATGTTACTTTTAAAGGTAATATAGATTAATTCTGCTGGGAATACTTGTTGTATTGGATGAAAGTAGGTGTTGAAACAGTCAATAGTCCGTAGACTTCGAGTATCTTTTGTATTAGCATAGGCGGCATTATTCGAGAAGTGTATTTGATGCGTAG